CTCTTTGTCCTAAAATAGCCACGTTCTCACAATATCTACTCACATGGTCTTCCCTCTGTGAGGGTCTGTGACTCCAAATCTGTCCTTTTCCTAAGGACAACAGTCCTATTGGGTGAGGCCAACCTGTAATGATTTCACCTGCACACGACCACCAGGGTAATGCCAGGGTAGTAGTCTACCATCAAATAAGGTCACATTTAGAAGAACGAGGGATCAGGAATACAACATATCAAATATGGGAGCACAAAGTTCAACCCATAAGAGTCAGGCCTCTCGCCCCCAAATTCATGTCTTCACGTCCACAATGCATTCATCCTATGTGAATGTCACCAAAAGTCTTCGCCCATTCCAGCATCAATGCAAAGGCCAAATGTCATCTAAATATCCTGTACACCAGATACGGGTGCATTTCCAGCTCTGATTAATGCTGAGGCATAATTCCTGCCCAGGTGAGAATGTGTGACGGAGACAAGAAGTTACCTGCTTCCAAAACACAATGGACAGACAGGCACAGGACAGTCATTACTATTCCAAAATCAAGGTATTGGAAAGGGAAACAAGGGTTCGTGGGCCCAGAGCAAGTTTGGGTCCTCTTAGGAAACATTATATTAGATCATAAGGATGGAAAAGAATCCTCTCTGGCTCTAGGCCCTGAGCTCTGCTCCCACAAGGAGTGGCAGCCCCACACTCTCTGCCATGGGAAGTGGCGGCCTCCCACCTATCCAGGGCTGCTGCAGTACCTTCTTCTGAAGGCCAGGTGTTCCTAACCTTTGGAACCCAGGAGGGGGCCTTGGTCTCAGGAATCAAGGAAAAGTTGGCTCTACAGATCCTGGCATTGCGCCTCTGGGTCTGTAGTGGCAGTGGCAGCCCTGACAGCCACTGAACCTTCTGTGGGGTCATTTGCCCCCTTTCCTGAAGAATAGCCCATGTTCCCAGGGAGATATAGCTGTGGGCCCTTTCCTTGCCTGCTGAATCCTAGCAGTCCCAACATTCTTCCTTCGTGATGTCTGTCCCATCTCTGTCCCTTGATTTCTGGGTACCCACCTTTCAGGCAGCATCAAATTCTCAGAATAAGACACCCGTTGGCTTTCCCTACAATCCAAAGGGTTCAAGCTATCCCACAGTAGGGTCCTCCACACGTTTTTCTTGCATGACCGTATCTCCATTCCTGGCTTTTGCTGAGATGGTTGATTGGACCCACGTGTCACATGCCTAAGCTCCGATCTGATG